GCTCGTACGGAGCGTGCAGTCCCGGTCCGCAGTCTTTGATGGGATTTCATACTGGTGAGGGCTGGTGTTGGTGGTGTGGAAATTACCTTCTCTTGGTTGTAAGCCTTGTAATTCAGCTGTGCTGGAAAATTAAAAGCAATTCGTTCTCCATGCATAGATTTGTCTTCTTTAAAGACAATAATTAAAAAACCCATAATTTTAACAAGGACCTGGCTTCCTGCTGTCCCCTTTGACTTGGGTGAGTTTACAGCAAAATGACTTGACGGCTTCCACATTTCTCACTCGTACGTGTCCCTTAATCCTAGAATTATCTTCCCTGCTTAAGGCATGGTGTTTGTGTCCTTCTGTATGGTTTTAAATAAATATTTTCTAATTTTTACAATATTTTCTTAAAATACCTAATAAAAACAGTCTCTAGTTGCCTGCTATTTGCATTTGAGCTCAAAAATCCGTGTGCGTGTGTGTGTGTATGTGTGTGTGTAGTATGGTCTAGAAATGGGTACTCTCACCGGAGATCTTGGGCTGTGCTGTGAACCATAGAGCCAGTGAGAAATTTTGAGGTGTTTGGAGGTAGAAGACCATGTAGTCAATCCTGGCTCAAGACTAGTTAAAAAAAACCTTCAGTTAAATAGCCACAAAATTGAATGCATTTGTTGAATCATAGAAAATAAGAATTAAATATGTGAGTTAAATGCCCTTTAAAGACAGTGTTGGCATTGTGCTGGTGCTGTAACACAACAGCCAGTCCAGCGTGCCCTTTCCGCAGTCATGCACAAAGGCTTTGGAAAGCTGAGGTTAAAAAAAACAGTTGTCCTGTGTGCCAGTTTTGGAAGGGATGACTTGAAACGTGGGCTCGTAAGCCTTAGGACCTTGGCACTCTGAAGCCACACCTTGCCATGGATTTTGAAATAAAACTTTGTGCCCAGAACAGAGTGAGCCGGCAGTCTCCAGCCTTGCTGCATGCAGCTCGTTTATTTTCATTTGTCTTTACAGAGAAGCGAAGCATCTTCACAGTCTTTGTACAAAACCGTCTCCGCCGGCCGGCCGCAGCGCTGCCCGCGGGACGTGTCGCGGTCGGGCCTTGGCGAGGGGGCCGGGGGCGGGCACCCCCTTGCCGCGCGAATCCAGGCACCAGCTGGCCGGGAGAGCTGACAGGTCTCTCCAGGGAAATAAAAACCTGGTGTTCTATAGAGATTGAAGTAAAAAGGGGGAAAACAGGAAATAAATATACTCTAACATTTGTTTTAATACTTGTTTTTAATTCATGACATATGGATTTAGGCCGTATTTAGTGTATGAAACCGTTAGTGGGCACGGAACATGCGATGGAGCTGTTTGCCGGTGAACCTGAAAATACCGCGGCCGCCCTTGTTTCTGCCTTCCCCCAGCTCCTGTCATGTCTCCGCATCGGAACACAGCTGTTTCCTTCAAAAAAACCCCATATTTTTCTAAGTTTATTGTCAGCAGTCGGGAGCAGCAGCACTGGTTCTCCTGTCCCCGCGGAGGTGCAGGGCAGGGCTGTGCCAGGCTGGCCCCAGCCCCAGCAGCTCGGTGCCCCGCTCCGGGACAGCCCCAGCGCAGCGACGCTGCCAGCACCATTACAAAAATAAAATACTTCTGTTTTTACATTAGTATTGTAACTGAGTTCTAAAGAATTAGAAAAATTAAATGTTTGTTCTTAGACTTGCGTTGCCCACAGGTAAGTATCTACAGTATTTATTCCAACATCCCGTCAGAATGTCTGCGAGAAATTTACACCATAGAAAGAACGTCTGCAAAACGCGTATGGATTATACACGTAGCTTTCATTTTAAATACATATATTTATACATTTAACAAACAGAAGCATTGTCAAAGTACAGTAATATGGAGGGTTGTTATTTTCATAGTCTCACAAACCACGTACAGGCTACACTTCTTTTGGTATGTGGGTTTCCCCCGATGCCCACCCTCTCCTGGAATTCAGGGTCGGTAAGAACTGGGAGCGCCCGGGGAGGAGGGAGAGGGACCCAACAC